TCCAGAATGGCAGAGACCTTCTGTGGGTCCATTCTAATCCCTTCTGTAGAAATTATTAAACCCAGGAATTGAATGCTCTGCCGCTCGAATTCGCATTTCTCGGGTTTAGCATATTATAGTCCATGTTGTTGGAGCTGACAGAGAATGCTCTTGACATGCCCCAGATGTGAGTCAAGGGACATAGAGAAGATCAAGATATCATCCAGGTACACTATTACAAAAATGTCCAGAAAGTCTCTAAAGATATCATTGATGAAGTGCTGGAATGTGGCAGGGGCATTGCAAAGGCCAAAGGCCATGACCAAATACTCAAAATGGCCGAACCTGGTGCGGAAGGCAGTTTTCCACTCATCCCCTTCTCTAATACAGATCAAGTTGTAAGCTCCTTGCAGATCCAACTTGGTGAAAATGGTTGCAGATCTGAGTCTCTGAAAGAGTTCTGGTATCAGTGGAAGAGGATAACGGTTTTTTCACAGTGATTTTATTGACTCCCGGTAGTCCACGCATGGCCAAAAGGGAATGATCCTCCTTTTCCACAAAGAAGATTCCTGCTGGGGAAGTGGATGGACGAATAAAGCCTCTCTTTAGATTTTGATCGACCTACTCCATTAAGGCCTCCAGCTCACGTTCGGAAAGAGGAAAGACCCGTCCAAAAGGAATCTCGGCCCCAGGAAGTAATGTGATCGGGCGATCGTAAGGACAATGTGGAGGAAGGATGTCAGCACCCCTTTTACTGAACACATCCAGGTATTCCCGGTAGGCATCTGATGTGTCTTGTCAGAGTCCAAGCAAAACAGGATCACTGGCGGAGTAAGGGGCTCAGACAATGTTCTTGGCAGTAAATTGATTGATTGGATTTCTGAAAGCATTAAGTACCAATTTGTGGATTATGCACATGCAGCCATGGTAGCCCCAAAATGACAGGGAACAGGGAGGGGAAAATAGCATCCAAACATAACAGTTCTTTGTGTTTAGTGAGAGTGACGAGTAATGGTGGCATCTCTTGAGGTACAAGTCCCGTTTTAATGCAAGAACCATCGGCCAGGTATACCAAAAGTCCTCAAGTCTTTGGCTGTAGTGGAATATGCTGCGGTGCTGCAAAGGCCAGGTCAATAAAGCAACTACAGGCCCCAGAGCCAATAATGGCAGTCACTGAAATTACACCTCCTGGGAGCTGAGACGAGATTGGGAGAGCCAGGTGAGCTGCACTGGAAGTCAGGAGCAGCTGGTTGGCAGGAGAGATAAACAGGCACCTGCGCAACTTTGCAGGGCATGTGCGTAGGTAGTGGCCAGACTTCCCACAGTACATGCAAAGATTGTTTTGTTGGTAACAAAGACGTTCTTCAGATGACAGAGCGGGACGCATCAATCCCAATTGCATTGGTTCTGGTATTTCAGATGTGGAAGCATTAGGACCAACTAGAACATAATGGGTAAGAGTCGGAGCTTTAGGCATCATAGTAGTCTGTTTCAGTCAGCGCTCACAGAGCCGACGGTCAATCAGGATAGTTCATGAGATCAGGGCCTCCAATGTATAAGGTACTCCAACTCTGGCTAACTCATCTTTTAAGGCTTCTGAGAGGCCAAGGCGGAATTGGTATTGCAGTACTGCGTCATTCCAAAGAGTATCTGCGCTCCAGCATCTGAAGTCCGTAACATAGTTCTCAGCTGCTCTGCGGCCTTGATGGAGAGCATGAAGTGCGGTTTCTGCAGTAACAGTTAGTTGAGGATCATCATACAACTGGACCATTGCCTCGAAGGATGACAGTGTGAAGCTGTACATTCTTTTCCTCTAGCAACTGATGGGCCCAAGTCTGAGGTTCACCCTAGAGTAAAGAGATGGTAAACCCTACTTTCCTGGATTAGAAAGAAAAATTTTGTGGCTGCACAGAGAAATATAACAGACATGCATTATGAAATGCTCTGAATTTACTTTGATCCCGAGAACCTTTCTGGTGTGGGAATCCTGGGTTCAGGAGGCCACATCATAACTCTGGGTGCATTAGCAGTCTCCGTTGGTGCTGTTTTAGATGAAGAAGCAGACATAGCTGAATTTGTAGATGTAGCCAGGGATTGTGGACGTAGCCTTCCTGCAGAGATGTGATGGCTTGAGTCTGGATGGCAAGGTGCTGGCAGATCCCAACCATAAGAGAGGTTCCTCTTGCAGGCTCAGACATAGCTGTCTGATACTGTCACATACCTCATTAGGGAGCCTGACATGTAGAGGAAGGCCTCTCGTACAGCTCCAGTTCAGGGGACACTGAAGGTGAAACAGCAACCACGAGAGCACGGCGGGCTATGAGTGCCTGGTCAGTCCAGTAGTCTGCAGAGGAATACCTGACAACTTTCAGAGTGGATGCCAGGAGTGAAGTAGCAGGTTGTAGGCAGATGTGACTGCGGAGCAGGCTGGTAGCAGGCAGGCTGACAGCAGGCAGATGACACAGCGGAGCAGGCGAAGCTGAATGCAGTGTCAGATGGGCCAGGTCAGTAACAGGCAGGCAGGTAGGTAAGCATAAATGGCAGGCAGAAGAAGGGTCAGGTCAGAGGCCAATGTCAGCAGCAGAGAGGCAGATACCATAGGCAGAGACAGAATCCAACAAGCAAGCCGAGGTCAGTGCAGGTAGCGTTCAAGTGAGGTCAGGATAAGCCGGGTCATGTTGGGATACAGAAGATGATGGTTTCTGTTCTCTAAGGACTTGACAGGTAAGAGGGTAAATTTGTCTGACAAAATTAGTTTATAATAGTGAAATGATTTATATTAATGTTCTCCACCATTACAGCATGTTTACTTAAAGTTTGGTCAGTAGTGTTTTTTATTTTCCTCCTCTCAGTAAAATGGTGAGACCAACATCTAGAGTTTGGAAACATATCCACAGTGCAATTTCTGATGAGAGCAAAGCTGCAATTTGCAAATATTATGAGAAGAAATATTCTTTTCCAAATGCTACAAGGGCAGCAAAACACATCCAGGCATGCCAGGGCTGCCCTAAAATATTAAAAAAAATACTTTATGGAATTAAATGATGACCAGAATGAAAGAGCAAGTAGGATTTCCCTCCAGAGTTCTCCGTCCAGAAACACGCTTCTCCTGCTTCTGGATCATCACAAAGTGTACCTCCAATGTAAGAAAATTTATTTCAATCTGTAAAACTACTTCACAGATTTTTTTTTTTTCTGATAATTTCCAATTTTTACAGGAAAAAAAAAAAATTCTCATGGCTTAAAAATTTCCAGAAATTTTACACCTCTTCATGGAACATATGCATCTCAACACAGATGCTGCAGTGTGAAGGCAATTATGAAGGGTTTTTTTTTTTAACCATTTCAATACCGTGCAATTTTACACCTTCCTGCCCAGGCCATTTATCACGTTTCAGCGCTCTCACACTTTGAATGACAATTGCGCGGTCATGCAACATTGTACCCAAACTAAAATTTTATCATTTTCTTCACACAACTAGAGCTTTCTTTTGGTGGTATTTAATCACCGCTGGGGTTTTTATTTTTTGCTAAACAAAAAAAAAGACCAAACATTTTGAAAAAAAAACACGTTTTTCTTTGTTTCTGTTATAAAAGTTTACAAATAAATAATTGTTCTTCATAAATTTAGGCCGAGATGTATTCTGCTACGTCTTTGGTGAAAATAACCCAAATTAGGATGTATTATTTAGTTTGTAGGAAAGTTATAGAGTTCACAAACTATGGTATAGATCTGAAAATTGATCAATCCTGAAGTACTGACAGCCAATCTAATTTCTTGAGGTCCAAGAATGTCAGAACAGTACAGATATCCCCCAAATGACCCCTTTTTGCAGAGTAGACAGTCCGACGTACTTCATAAGAGGAATGGCGAGTTTTTGAAGTTGTATTTTTTTTGTCAATTTTTCGGAAAATAAAAAAATGGAAAAAATTATTTTCACTATTTTTTTTTTTTTTACATACGGTCACCAGTGCAGTACAGCGTCATCATATAACTGGCATGGCGGTGAACAGGGACACTGACTGGTGACAGTATGAAAAAAAAAATATATATATTTTTTTTTTTTTTTAATTTTTTATTAAATTTTTTTTATTTTTTTTAAGATTTTTTTTTTTCATATTGTACTATGACCAAAGTAGTACAATGTTACCATAGTAACATTGTACTACTTTGGGGAAGTGATCAGTATTTTTTTCACACAATTTGCTTATAGCAAAGAATTACTTTGCTATAAGCAAGCATTTACCTGAATGAAATCGATTCATTCAGGTTTTTTTTTGTGCTTAGCTTTGCTTTGGTCACAGCTAATCACATGACATGTGCATGTGATTAGCTGTGACCATTCACAGCTAGGCACTAGTATACAATGGATGGCATGAATGAAGCTATCCATTGTATACAACTGTCATGTGACCTGCTGTGATTGGTCACAGCAGGTCACATGGTACCAGCAACGGGGGCCGGTACTCAGATCTGTCATCGGCCGTGTCCGAGGTACACGACCGGTGACAGATCGCGCCGCTACGAGGCTCTGCATTACCGCAAACTGCGCATGTGCGGGTGCACGCCAAATGGCGTGCACCCGGAATACCGCAGCACTTCTGAAGCCGCCAAAAATGGCCATTGGCCGGGCGGCTAATGGTTAACCACTAGCCTACAGGGCACTTAAACCCCCTTCCTGCCCAGGCCAATTTCCAGCTTTCAGCGCTGTTGCACTTTGAATGACAATTGCGCGGTCATGCAACACTGTACCCATATGAAATTTTTAGCATTTTTTTGTGACAGATAGACCTTTATTGTGGTGGTATTTAATCACCTTTGGGTTAATTTTTTCTTAAACCAAAAACCACTGAAAATTTTTTTTAAAAAAAAAGTTTTTTTCTTAGTTTTTGTTATAAAATTTTGTAAATAAGTGATTTTTCTCCTTCACTGATGTGCGCTGATAGGTGGCACTGATGGGCATTGACAGACATCACTGATGGGCACTGAAAGGAAGCACTCATATGGCACTGATAGGCGGCACTGACTGGCACTGTTATGCGGCACTGATAGGCAGCACTGACAGGTGGCACTGACTGGCATTGATAGGTGATACTGAAAGGCAGCTCAGATGGGCACTGATATGTGGCATTGATGTGGCACTGGCAGGTGGCATGGATGAGCACAGAGCTGGAACTGATGAACACTGACAGGTGGCATTGCTGGGGCTACACAGATCAGGGTACACTGATCATCAGTGCTCTGATGATCTGTGTACATGTCCCCTCTGAGGAATGCTGATTACCGGCTTTCCTCACGAGCGGTCAGCGTGACAGCTCGTGAGGAGAGAAATGCCGATAACCAGCATTTCCCTGTTTACATGTGATCAGCTGTGATTGGACACAGCTGATCACATGACCGAGCCAACATCTTTGGCTCTTTCCGTAGATTGGTGATCCGCTGTGTCCTAGGGACACAGCGCACCGCCGATCGCCGCGCGCTCCCGGAGCCACGCATGTGCGGTGAGAATGGGAGGATGTCATATGATGTCCTCCCAGAACGAGAGAACCGCCTTGCGTCTGTCATATTACTATATAGCGGGAGGCGGTTAATATTCTATACTTATGATGCATCCTGCAGAAGCATCATAGACATCAGCTACTCCCAGCCACCTTAGGACTCAGGGGTTAAGATCTTCAATCTTCATGCCCAGGTAAATGCACACTTTTGCTTTTAAATGTTTTAATCTATGGACAATTCCACTTTCTTATTTCTAATGACTTATTCTATGCCCTAGAGATATGAAAGGAAATCTCCAAAAGAGTGAGAAATCTTTTCTTAGCTGTCACAGGAACAGTAATCCCTACCAGAATACCCTCTTGTTCTGGTGACAACTGTAAAATATGTGATTTCTCATTCAGTCCAGGAAATGAGAGGGCAAATTACCTGGGGAAAAAAAACAAAATCAACAGTTCTAATCCTTTCTTACCTCATTGAAAACTGAAGTTGATCTGGCAATTCGTACACTTTAAAAATGCACAGAAACGATTTTTTTTTTTATCTTTAGATGGCTAATGTCCAAGCCTTCGCTTACCTGAGTTGAGTCTGATGAGTCTGATATAGATGAATGAAACCTAAAATTTGTGTTGGAAAAAAAAAAAAAAAAATCAGATTCTATTAAAAAGGAGCTCAAAGCAATGAGCTTCATCTGCAAAATGCAGCTCATTGGGTGGGAGTCTACACACTGCTGGCTTGGCATCAAAGTAGCAAAAATTCTTAAGTCAGCAGCTTTGATACTACAGCCATAAACAGAACCACGCTTCAACACACAAAACCACTTATATTAGAAAGGAATGTCTGATTTGGAAACCATTTAAAGAGTAGCTAAAAGAACACTTTCTTCATATAAAATAAGACCTGTGATCATGGCTAAGCACTGCCACCGCATTCAATAATTTGGGGAGGGCCATAAAGGGGATTAATAAAATATACAGTTTCATCTGACCTTTTTAAAACTGCAGGCTAAAATGTGCCAACTCTGCTTTTGTATTATATTGTTATATATGGATTGCATAATTGTGCAGTTTATTGATGAAATTCATGAAATTTGGAATACTGAGTTATAGCAACAACTATATATTATCAGCATCTCTAGTACTGAAGGTTCACCAGTTCACATGCTGCCAGTGTGTACAAAAGGTAATTAAGAATATTTATCTGGCAGCACCACTGCCAACTTAACCACTTGCCTACAGGGCACTTACCCTCTTCCTGACCAGGTGAATTTTCAGCTTTGTCACACTTTGAATGACAATCGCGCAGTCATGCAACACTAAACAAATGAAAAAAGACCAAAAATTTTTTGGAAAAAAAAAACAAAACGTTTTCTTAGTTTCTATTATAACATTTTGCAAACTGGTTATTTTTCTCCTTCATGTGTGTTGATGTGGAGGCACTAATGAGGCTGAACTGATGGACCCCGATTGGCATTGAAAGGCAGCACTGATGGGCACTGTTGGGGTTATCGGCAGTACTTTCCTCATGTTGTCACATTTGCTGTAGTGATGTTTGCTTCAGTAAGTAATACATAATAACTTGTCAGACCAGATCCACTTCTCTTTCTTGCAAGTACAGTTGTTGCTATCTATATACATATACTTTTGTAGCAATATTGGGTGTCCCTTGTTTAACAACTTGCCCTTTGGAAGGCTTTACCCCATTCATGACCAGGCCATTTTTTACTATAGGCAATGCCCTACTCTGACAATTGCGTGGTCATGCAACGCTACACACACACAGCCTTCTTTTGGTGGTATTTCATCACCACTGGGTTTTTATTATATAAACGAAAAAAGACCAAAAAATTTTGAAAAAAAAAAAAAAGATTTATGGTTTTTACTTTCTGCTATAAAACAAATTCAATAAAAATTAAAAAAAATATATAACTTCTTCATAATTTTTATCCAAAATGTACTCTACTACGTCTTTGGTAAAAAAAAAAAAAAAAATCCCAATAAGTGTATATTTGATTTGCGTGAAAGTTGTGTCTGCAAACTGATATATATATATATATATATACACACACACATACACACACAGTTAGGTCCATATATATTTAGACACAGGCACATTTTTAGTTTTTTTCAGGTATTTACCAAAACCTATTCAAGCTAGAATTATATATGGGCTGAAAGTGCACACTCTCAGGTTTAATTTGAGGGTATGTACATCCAAATTGGAGGAAGGGTTTAGGAATTACAGCTGTTAAGAGTAGCCATCTCCCCTTTTTCAAGTTACCAAAAGTAATTGGACAATTGAATATAATCATAAATAAAATGTTAATTTTTAATATTTTGTTGAGAATCCTTTACTGGCAATGACTGTAAAGGACCATTGCCCTAAAACCACCCTTCACTTCTTTTTTATAACAGGAAGTGATGGTGAATTGCCCGAAGAAGGAAGCAGGGAAGTCAATTTAAAGTAGCATGGAGATATGTTATAATTTCCTGCTCCATGACAACCACACCCGCATTTCTTGCATGGGGTCACAAGGATGGGAAATGAAGGAAAAATTTTGAATTGGTTCACAGACAAAATTAACAAATTGGCAAAAGGTCTCTCTTCCCTATTCTATTCAGAACAAATATCCAAAATTGTCTAGAACTCAGCTTTAAACTGCAACTGTTACCTATTATAAAACAAACAACATGACACTTAGTAAAAGTTTCAGCTTCCAAGTTTTATTTACATCGGAAGTGTTCATCTAGTGGTTTCAAATGAAGGCTAAGTCCCTTCTATGTACATGTTCTATATACAGGTTTATACTTGAAAAGTAAGAAAACTGTACAATAGCCACAAAAAATTAGAAATACTTTGAATGACATAAAAGAAATACATAAATTATATGTAACATTCGAGTTTACACATGTATTTCATAAGAGTTTTAGAGCAGCAACAAGAACGGGAAAGGGTGAGCCAGTCTGGTCTCAGTCCTCTATGGTTTCATTGCTGTCCAGGCCTGGTAACACATTAAACAATTTACATTTGTATCCTTATTTCACACACAACTGAGGGTGGGGATACAAAAACAAATTACAAGTAAGCAATGCACTTACACAAGATACTAATAAAAATGTGGCTGCTTAGATAGGAAGGTGAATCAGAAAATCAAATAGTTTAAAGTAGAACTATAGGTAAAACTTTTTTTTTCATTTTAGTAGAGTAAGGGAAGATTGTTTCCACCATCTGTGTCCCATTGCGGAGATTTCCCTTCACTTCCTGTCCCTTTGCCAAACAGGAAGTGAAAAAAAATTAAGAGAATTCATTGAGGACCCCCAGGTCACCAGAACTAGTGTGCCCATTGGAAGATTTTCTCTCTATTACTTTTCTGGGGACAACCCAAAATTTGGTGTTTTCTTTACTTTCACTTTTGGTGATAATGATAAACAGGACAAATAGAGAGTGTGAATCTCCCTAACAGGGGCACAGACAACAATAAAAACTGACCAGTGTTCATACCCTCTCCATTCTATCTAAAACTAAAATCAAAGCTTTGCCTTTAGTTATACGTTAAAGGAAAAGTATAGGTAAAAATAAGTGGCTTCTGCTTAAAAAAGGGGAACATTTAACCAAGATTACTGTAAGATGTACCTGCAGTCTATGAGAGACCAAAGCTAAGCACCAAGTTAAGTGAATGGCCTGGCTCCCATAGCACTATAATGCCTTGAGAACTGTGTGTTCTGAATTTACTCTTCTAAATGTGAGCATGTAAAATTCTGTATTTTTTTAATGCCCCCTCTTAAGCTGCAATAGCAGCAGATAGGGGTGTTTACATGCTGCGGTTGCGATGCTTCATGCCCTTGGCAAAATATCTCGGACATGTAGCAATTGATGGGTGGCCCACCAAACCCGAAACATGGAGGCAAAATGGGGAGGCACTGTAAACAAGTGCAGTGCATGCGGTTGTCGCATGTTTGTTAGCAAAAATTGGGTTAAAACATGTGACATTTCCTCACCGCCCATCAATCACCTCTGAAGCACGATCTGAACGTGGATCAGGCTTTAGAGGAGGTAGATTTAGATACACATCTAAACTTACCCTTATGGTGCATGAGTCAGTACTCAGTGGCACTTTGGTGACTAATAGATTGCAAATTAAGAATTTACAAAACAGTCACAGGAACACTCTGCAGCATATGTGTACCACAGACTGAACATATGCATCTGATATTTCATGTGGTATTATAAACTGCAGGACCCTTGTATCAATAAGATTTTCACTTTTTGGGGAACTAAAATGTTTCCTCGACCAGTAGATGTTCACTGAGTATTATGTATCTGGCTGGAGGTCCTGTAAAGCCAGAACTGCATTTGAAATCTGGAACAGAAATACAAAGCCTTGGTAAGATCAAGCAGTTGTCAGCACATCTGCAGGTCTTATGTGAGCTTAATATTATTACAGTGAACTTGTGATTTCAGTTTTAGCTGAAAATTCTTCAAAACAATTGAGATAGCAATATGCTATAAAAGCCACTTCAACTTTACCAATAGCTTTCCATTACAAATTGCTTTAAATCGGCAAAATTACCTGCCTGCGTCCTTTGCTCTTAAACAGTGGTCTGCCAGATGGAACACGTTACAGACCATATAAAACAATTAACATTCTAGGGGTAAAATACACATTAGAAAAAAACCCGCCTGGATATTCAATATTGCACATCATAATACCACTATTGGAGTTTCAGCCAACTCTCACTCCACCGAACATATTGTATTAAAAGAGTTATACATACAAATAGTAAGAATATATTTTTAAAACTGAAAGCACTTTATTTAAAAGCAGACAATTAATTAAAAAAACCCAGAATGTTTGGTTACTGTTAGTAAGCAGTCATACAGGATCTTGAGAAATCACAAAGCATGGATTGAATATTAATGTAAGTAAATGAAAGCAATACGGAATGCTGGGATTCACATTTACTGTTCACTTCTGCCATATTATCATGGCACCTCTGACTCTGAATTCTCTCTAACCTGTGGCAGT